ACATGATAGCAGTATTCCAATAGGTAGGTAAAATGAGGACCCGGTTTGTGGGGGCCAATAAGCTGACTTTGTATAAATAGAACATCGCTTAGGGGGAGCCAAAAAAGCCCTACTAAGCAGGTATATACAAAAGTATGAAGGCTATTGTTTAATGCATTGTAAGCCGCCCTGAGTCTCTGGAGAAGGGTGGCATATAAATTGAACTAATAAATAAATAAATTTGAGGGGCTGTCACAGAGAGGAGTGGGTCAAATTATCACCTGAAGGCTAAACAAGGAATACTGGATGGAAACTGATCAAGGAGAGATTCAACCTAAAAATAAGTAATTTTCTGACAGTGAGAACAATCAACCAAAGGAACAGAAGTTGCCTTCAGAAGTTTGTGGAAGCTTCATCACTGGAAGCTTTCAAGAAGAGACTGGACTGCCATCTGTCAGAAATGGTGTAGGGTCTCCTGCTTGGGCAGGGGCTTGGATTAGATAAGCAGTGTCAAACTCTTACCCCACAGGCCGGATGCATCATGCATTGGCCATGTCCACCCCCAGTTTAGCGAAGGGTGGGAAAGTTGTGATACATCACGTGATGACAATGTGATGCCGTGAGTTTGGCACCACTAGACTAGATGATCTACAAGATCCCTTCCAACTCTGTTCTGTTCTGTTTAGAATGGATGGTGGGTAGATAGAAGGATAGGTTCTGACTAGATTTTTTTTGGGGGGGGGAATGGAAGGATTGTATTTCTTTGCAGTCATCTGGTCGTTAGCACTCTCTCTGAGAGTTCTTGAGGCCACTTTGGGGTTTATCTTTGCCCTCAAGTTCACCTGAATCAGAGTGCAATTAGTTGTGGAATCTTCAAGCACCTTGAAGTTTCCAGGTAGACAGTTTTCCTGTAGAATGTTATTATTGCAATCTGGGGGTGTTTTATGGGCTACAAAAAAGGGGCTTTTATTAATCATAAAAAGATCTGAATTGCATAACTTTGAATTAACATTGGGAATGTGAACAACATGAAGGAACAATTGATCAGATATGGTGGCTATGTAAAAAGTCAGAAAAAATGCATACAAATACATGCAAGAGTTTAGAAGATTTAAAAGATTAATGTAAAATTGAAACCAGATACTTTTCTTTTGGGATTAATGGAAAAACAACTAGGAAAAAAATCATGGAATTTTATTTATTTATATGACAACTGCAGAGAGATTACTATTTGCTCAAAAGTGGAAAGATTTGACTCAATCCACATTAGAGAAATGGTTGGTGAAAATGAATGGAACTAGCAGCTATCACTGACTTCCTTTATAAGAGAAGAGACAATATTTATATTTATGACTGATTAAGAACCCCGATAAACTTCTTGCATGAAACAGAAAAAATACTTAGGATTTTTCTTTTTTCCTTCCTTCCTTCCTTCCTTCCTTCCTTCCTTCCTTCCTTCCTTCCTCCCTCCCTCCCTCCCTTCCTTCCTTTCTTCTCTCTTTCTGACTGCTAGCTGCCTTTAATTTGGCAATTCAAATCTCACCAGGCTCAAGGTTGATTTAGCCTTCTATCCTTCTGAGTTGGGTAAAATGAATACCCAAATTGTTGGAAGCAAGATGCTGACTTTGTAAACTGCTTAGAAAGGACTGTAAAGCACTGTAAAGCGGTATGTAAGTCTAAGTGCTATTGCTATTTCTATTGCTATCACTCTCTGTCTCTGTCTCTCTCTCTCTCGGTCTTTCTGTCTCTCTCTCCTCTCTCTCTCTGTTCTATGTTACATTTTGTTACTTTTTCTTCTTTTTAAGAGTTTTAAGCAAGCAAGCAAGCAAACAAATAGAAAAGAATAGAATAGGCATTTTTGGAACTCCCTAACAGTGTCTCATTTCAGCTTTTGATAAAAGGGATGAGATACTATGTGCTGGTATGCTGTCATTTTCCATCAAAGTAATGCCTTAATATTCTACATATTCGGCCTCAAATAATGGATGATTTTATGGAACATTGCTGAAAACCCATCTCCTCCCCTCTGTGATGTCAGATGTTTCAATACAATAAAAGCAAGATTTTTCTCTTAAGCTGTATTTTTGTCTTCACTTTCCCTGGGGTTCCTCAAAAGGCTGTCAGTGGTTCTACTTTTATCCAACTATTCTCCCATGGCCTACACAAGCAGAACTTTCTGGTGTTTTATTATTGCTGTCCTGCTATTTATAATAATTTATAATAGGATTGAGACATTTTTGGATGCTCTGTACGCCAAAGAAGAGGAAGCAAAAGAAGGTTCACCTGCTGTTTTGATCGCACAACTGTATTTTGAATGGAAACATAAAAGGCTACTTTTAGATAGTGACCCACACATCAGAGGAATATTGGAAAGTGACATAAGAAATAATAGTGATACGTTCTCAGAAACATCACATTAGGAGGCCATTTGACTAGCGTTCTTTTAATAAATTAGGTACTTTTCATTCTAAATTAAATGAAAATGTGCATGGAGAGAAAAATCGAAAGCATTTTTCTACTGAAGGCTATATGGCTCACTGCCCTGTTTATGTGTTTGTGTAATCTGTACAATCTAGTTTCGGGTCATTTTTTTTCCCATGTCCATTTTGCTACGCTCAAGTGATACAGAGAGTGCACTGGATTGTGTCCTGATTAAATCCATTCAGGAGAGATTACAGGTGGCAGATGCTGAAATACATGGAAAAACAGTAAGGTGTGGAGTGTGTGGGCTACGCTGTCTGCCTTTGACTCTTTAATCTACTTCCTTAAAGTGTTATTTGAGACACTCTAGAGCTAAGATCCCTCTTCCAATTAGTCAATAGGTGAATGGTCCCAAAGTCGGAATATCTTGGGCAAATCCTTTATTAGGAAGTGAAAGGAATCTACAACTACCGTGTTCCCCTGAAAATAAGACCTATTCCAAAAATAAGCACTAGCTTGATTTTTACATGTGTGCCCAATATAAGCCCTACCCCCCAAAAAATAAGCCCTAGTTAAGACCCTACCCACTCCAGAGTGCACAGGGTGAGGCGAGGTACACAGGTAAAATCAAGCTAGGGTGGGGATGGGGGTAGAGCTGTTCTACTTACCTTCTGACAGTTGCACCCAGGCCTTGCACACCCCAACATCTGCCTTGCTGGCTTAATTCTCCTGTAGCCATTTGCCCCTGCTTGTGCATATCACCTCCGGCCTCGGTTTCACTGTCAGAGGCCTTCAGGAAAGGCCTCTGCAGATGAGAAACATGTTTGTGCGTCAATCCAGAGCTCTTTTATCAGTTGCAGAGGCCTATCCTGAAGGCCTCTGATGGGAAATGAGGCTGGGGGGCACCACAGACATCAATCCAGAGCCGTTTCTTGGCTGCAGGTGAAATGGAGGCCAGGGGCACCATGTGTGAGCGGCGGCAAGCGGCCACAGAAGAAGTGGGCCAGCAGCAGGCTCCTGCTGGGTGGGGCTGTCGGTGCCGCCACTGTGATGAGAGTCAGTGGAAGATATCTCCCCCAAAATAAGACCTGGTGCCTTTTTTGGTGACAAAGAAATATAAGATTGGGTCTTATTTTCAGGGAAACACGGTATTTAAAAAACTAGTCTAGGTAACTAGTTAATTCTAGATACTGAATTTATATATGAAAAAATACCAAGGACTGATTAGCTTCTTGTCTGTTTCTATTCAAGGTGTTTTATGAATGTCAGGGAGGAGACAAAACTGATGACACTTTAGAAATCCCTAAAATAGTTTATAAATCTGATACTAGTGGGTTCTGTCAAAGTCTGGAACCCATGGAAGGCAACAGATGCAATGAGCAGATGCAACAGATGCAAGAGGTGGATACCGTGGAAGCCCTCAGCCACAATTAGTATATTAATATTAAAAACCTCTAAGTCCAAAGCATCTGGAATTATCAAGTTTCTATCCTTTTTCCAGGTTTCCAAGCTGCTGCTGCTATAGGGAGATAAAAATGTAAATGAGTTGCTTCTTTAAACAGCTCTCCCTCCTACCTGGTGAGCACAATAGCAAAGGAACACTTTTTCTCTTCTCTGTATATAATGCCATTTACGTTCTTAACAATGTTAATGTTCCTTCTAAGATAGACCTTGAGCAACATGGAGTATGTCTTGTGCGCAACAAAATGAAAAGGTTATATTGTTAAAGAGAGGACCTTGATTTGTGCATAAGAATGAGAATTTTTATATAAGTAGTAATGCTTTTTGTTTTCCTATCCATTCTATTCCATTTCTAAGTAGACTTACCTGAAAGCTGGCATTGTACAATGGTCCAGAGGGTACAATGTTTTTAAAGTTGTGTGTGTGTGCGTGCGTGCATGTGTATAGATGGATGATAGACAGCTAGACATATACAGATATAGATATAGATATAGGTAGCCTTTGACTTACGGCCATAATTGAGCCCAAAATTTATGTTGCTAAGTGAGACATTCGTTAAATGAGTTTTGTCCCAGTTTACGACCTTTCTTGCCACAGTTGTTAAATGAATCATTGCAGTTGTTAAGTTAGTAACATGGTTGCTAAGTGAATCTGGCTTCCCCATTGACTTTGCTGGTTAGATGTTTGCAAAAGGTGATCACATGATCCCGGGATAATGCAACGTCATAACTACGAGTCAGTGGTCAAGCCTCCATATTTTGAGAAGGGATGCTGCAGCGGTCATAAGTGTGAAAAATGGTCATAAGTCACTTTTTCAGTGCTGTTGTAACTTTGAACGGTCACTAAATGAACTGTTGTGTAAAGTCGAGGACTATCTGTATTATGTACTACTATTTCTATAATTTTTCTTGGGTGTGCTATTAATAAAGTCTGTCTTATCTGTTTATCTATCTATCTGTTTATAACATTTCTTTCCCATTTTTCGAACAGTGATACAAGTTCCATGTGGCAAACCTGAATGGTCCACTCATTTTATTTGCTGATTATTGTATCACGAGCCACTTAAAAAGATCTAAGATGAAACTTGCTGGGTCAAACCTAAGGCTTTACTAATACAGCATCTTGTGCTTCTCAGTTGCCAGCCAGACGCCTAAGGGAAGCCTTGAAGCATCAAGATAATCATGGTCTCCTGCTGTTGCTGTCTAGCGTGGACATTCTGCCATTATGATCTGTCTTCCCTTTGATACCGGAGGTAGTATTTTTAACATATTGTAGAACAAATATATCTAGTTTCATATAAAATGCTGAAAAGTTACGAAAATCCCATTTCTCTTTCCAACTTTCTAATATTAGCAGCCAAACTAAGCTTGGCTGTCACCTTAGCCAAGAATTTGTCTCTAAAGTTATTGTTTTAAGTCGATGATGGGTTCTGTTTTCCAACCAATTTATTATATAAGTTTCCTCATGGTCACCTATTTCTGTTTTTCCAACTCAGGATACTTTCTGTGTTAGCAGATTTTGTGAAAAAATGTACTGAATCCACAGGGTTAATGACTTAACAAACTGAATTTAGTTTAGATATACATAGGCTGGAAAAACACAGGATGGTCAAATAATTTTTAGGATATCTCATCAGATTAGATCAAAACAAGCTTGAAAGCAACACATAGGGGTGTGATTCAGCCGGTTCGAACTGGTTCAGGTGAACCGGTAGTCACAGCCAGTGGCTGAGCTCGCCCACCCACCTCAGCGCTATCCTGTCTTATACAATCACCATATTTTTGACTCAGCACGCATGTGCACAAGGTGCATGCGCGAGCAAAGCTACCTCATCCTATACAATTGCCATGTTTTTGATGAAGTGTGCATGTGCGCAAGGCACGCACGCGAGCGAACCTATCCCGTCCTATACAATCACCATGTTTTTGATGCAGCACGCGTGTGCGCGCAAGATCACATTTTTGATTCTGGGAGAACCGGTTGTTAAATTATGTGAAGCCCACCTTCGGCAACACATATACATATGTTGTACATTTTTGTTAGACAAAAATTATTTCTCTATAGCTGTGCCTATTAATGGCTTTTGGAATGTAGAGATGTGTGGGCCAATCAGAGAGCAACTAATATGTTTGAATCTCCAGGGCCATCCCCTAACTGTCACAGTTAACAGTAAAAAAGGTGATTCTTAACAGAAATCCTTGCTCTTCAGTTTGGTATTCAGTTTGCTCTTCACCTTGCTGTTCAGTTTGATCTTCTGACTAGTATTGTATTGTATTCTAGGATCTTCTTTTAGATAACTGTGAGCAGTCTGGAAGTCCGTTAGAAGGGCAGTTCTGTGGTATATTGTGGTATTTCTTCTGAGGAAGAATATTCATAGATAGCTTAGCTTAGAGAGAATAGATATGTATATAGATAGATAGCTGACAGTATAATTTATAATAGTAACTTAGTGATGTTTATTGATTGTATATATATATTATTATGTTTTTATTGTGTAAATAAAAACATTTGCTGTAGGCTGCTTCAGAGGCTCATTTGTTTAAGTAGAGTTTCATAGAGATAGAGGTTCACGGTTTATTGATTTATTAACCTCCACAACAATTTTCATGTAGCAAACTTCATCACTGGAAGTTTTTAAAAAGAAGACTGGACACTTACTTGTTTGAAATGGTACAGAGAGTTGGACCAGAAGACCTCCAAGGTTCCTTCCAACTCTATTCTGATTGATTGATTGATTTTTCTGGCCAATATCCTTGCAGTGCTCCCATCAGATTTATACCTGATAACTGCTGCTATTATATTTTCTTCTGCCCCTTAAAATGTTCCCCTTCCATTATTCTTCCAACAATTGGATGATTCATGGTAGAGATTAAAAAAAAAAATTCAGTAGAACTTTTGGACTAGGATAAAGAGCAGATACATTGAGCAAATTGCTGAGATTAAAGTTACCTAGTGAGGAAACAAAATGAGCTGGTTCATTGATGCCACAACAAGGAGTTCACACCGATGCTGTTGATGGCCCATTCTGCATAAAAAATTCAGCAGGTTCTGACAGGTTCTGGAGAACCAGTAACAGAAATTTTGAGTAGTTCAGAGAATCAGCAAATACCACCAATTTGGCAGATCGAATCTCACCAGGCTCAAGGTTGACTCAGCCTTCCATCTTTCCGAGGTGGGTAAAATGGGAACCCAAATTGTTGGGAGAAAGATGCTGATTCTGTAAACTGCTTAGAGAGGACTGTAAAGCACTGTAAAGCGGTATATAAGTCAAAGTGCTATTGCTATTGCTATAAATGGATAGAATTTTCTGTTGTTAATTTCTGTGCCAAATCTATGTGCAGTTGGCTTATTTCTTGGTCCGATATATATCCTGCCCTTATCCCTGTGAGTTCAAGGTGGCTCCTACCTTTTGTTGCACCTACACAGCAAAATCTATATCATTATCCACATTTTAAAAAACAAAACAAAACCATGTTCCAATAATTTCAAAACCAACAGGAAGACAGAAGAAGTTGATTCTAGTTTTCTTTTTTTAGGACAGGAAAACAACTCCAAACTCTGATATGTCAGTGTTGGAAGGACACCTATTTTTCATCAATTATAAAAGGATTTTCTTATCATTGTCTAGCTGAACAATTATTTGATTGCATGGACTATTTAGAGATTTGGATTGTCTACAGTAACATAGATATTTTATTTGCTGCACATTTTTACTAAGTAAAATGATTTAAATGTTTACAAGTTAGATAGATAGATAGATAGATAGATAGATAGATAGATAGATAGATAGATAGATAGATAGACAGATAGATAGACAGATAGATAGATAGATAGACAGACAGACAGACAGACTGACTGTCAGACTGACTGTCAGACTGACAAACAGATGATAGATAGATACAGAGTGAGAGACAGAGAGAGGGAGAGACAGAGAGAGAGAGAGAGAAAGAGAAAGAGAGACAGACAGAGACAGACAGAAAAAAAGAGAGAGAGAGAGAGAAAGAGAGAGAAGGACATTAGATAATCATATGACAATCTTTACTTTATAGATGTTTTGTTTTTCTTGTTTCCATTTTTCCCCTTTTGGCATGCACACACATAGAGAGAAAAAGGTTTTAAAGCAAACTTTTGCTTTTGCCATAACATATCTGTGCGAGCCCAGCCTGTCAACAAATCTGGCATCTATCTGCAGTTGGAGGGCAAAGTTGTCTTTACCAGCGACTCTTCTAATCTCTAACACAGATTATTACCAGCAAGCCAAAATCCTGGGAGTTTATGACAGGTGGACTTGTCAGGGAGTCTCCTTCTGCTTATTCCCATAAGAAGGCACACTTGTCAGATCTAAAGAAAGCTGGAAATCAAAAATAACAAGCAGTCAGAAGGTGGATGGGTGAACTCTTCTATCTTTTAAGCATTCAGTTTTGGAAATCCTGCCTTTCTTCTGTATCCTTCCAACATGGGAGGGAGGAGACAGGGAAGCGAGCTTACTACTAGCTTACTAGTCCTCAGAAGGCAGTGGAATAAAACCTGCATTTATTTTTAATTTGTAGTAAGGGTCTTTCCATTAGATATAGTTCAATTCCTCTGCAGGCTTCTTGCTGGACAATTTAGAGGTTGCCATACTGCCCTTTCTTCACTCCTGTTACAGTAAAAGCATTGCAGGAGATATATTTCCAAAACTATTGGCTGATGAGATTCAGCAGAATTGAGGTCATCTATGAGGTCTAATTTCTAGGTTTTTTTTCCCCACTGTCCAAAAGCTTTTTTTCTGTCCAAAAGCTAAAGGAGAAGCAGAAACTCTGATGCTTTTCTATTATGACTTAAGGTAGGAAAGCAGAATGGATAACATTAGACAGGGCTACCTCTAAATCTTGAAGCACAACATCAGTTGAAGCCGTTCCATTTTGCCATCTCTGACTGCAATTTTAATTTGGCTTTCTCCTCGCTCCTCCCATAAGCATCATCATCTACAGGCATGTCTCTATCAAGTGGACAGGCATGTCTCTATCAAGTGGACAGCCATATAAATTGAAGAAACTAACAAACAATTTATTGATTCCCAGAAGGAGAAGAAGCAGAGGAGTCTATAGTGAGGAACAGTGAGAAAAATTATTATACAGATAGTTCTTAACTTATGACTGCAACTGACCCCAACATTTCTGTTGCTAAGCAAGGCCGTTGTTAAGTGAGTTTTGTCCCATTTTATGACCTTTCTACCATAGTTTTTAAGTGAATCACTGCAGTTTTTAAGTTAATAGCATGATTGTTATGTGAATCTGGCTTCCCCATTGACTTTGCTGATCGGACAATCACAAAAGGTGAACACATGACCCCCGGGACACTGCAACTGTCATAAATGCATGCCAGTTGCCAAGTGTCCAAAATCTGATCACATGACCGTGAGGATGCTGTAACAGTAATAAGTGTGAAAAATCATCATGTCACTTTTTTCAGGGCTGTTGTAACTTTGAATGGCTGTAAATTGTACTTGCATATTTCTTGATTCACTCCTAATTCCTTGATTTTGTGTTTTAACATACTTTAGGTAGCCCTCATCCATACCACATTGCTTGTATTGGGATATGACATATTGCTGAGTGTTGAACATTGAACTTTGTAACAGTAGTTACTAAAACACTGAAACACAGCTCTTAAAACAGACTGCTAAATATTGGCATTTCATTTCTGACCACAAATTTCTGAAGAAAAAAAAATGGAAAGGAAGGAATGGGAATGTTATTTTCATTTCCTGTTAATTGAGCAAAAAGGACTTCTGGAGATACTATTAGATAGATACTTTGTTTGTGACAACTTACTAAGAGAGCTGGGAAGATGTGGGTCAGAAAATAACATTTTCTATTTCTAGTAGGTAAGAAAGGTTGCATAGAAGTAATTCATAGTTGCCTAACTATTATTCTTACAATTGATCTTAATAGGTGAAATCGTTCTCATTCAAAAATTATTCATTCTGGAGGCACATTTTTCTGCAATTCAGCAGAAACATTGACTGCAGCATAAAAAAGCAGGTGGAATGTCCTCTTCAATTTTATAAAATGGCATTCTACTGATATTTCATAATCTCTGCAGAATTACTATTTCTTTCATTTTGTATATATGAAAAGACTGTAGGGCAATTTTACACCTGCAGGATTAGAAAGGATAATTTGTTGGTAACACAATATATATATATATTTCCCAGTGAATGTTATGCCCACAAGATCTTTCCCAGAATTATCTTTAAAATGAGCTGGCAAAAATAGATATGTAAGCATGGGATTACTGGATCAAAGATAGTTTGGGTTATAGTATGGTAAACATGAGATTGTGGTACCTCTGGATGTAATGACCCCTGAGTGTGAAGTTAAAAGTGCATGCTTTCCTAGTAATTCCTAGGAGAGAAAAATCTGAACATATCCTAACCAAGTTTGACACAAGAGCTAAGCTCCCAGTTTCTGATCTGAAACTAGCTTTTACCAAGCAGCTGTGAACCATTCCTAAAGATCTCATTGCTCAAAAACCAAATCTGAGATAATAAATCCCTCTATTAGAAAATGAGAGAGAAAACAGTAATAAAGTAGAATAGAGTTAGTAACAAGTTCCATAATTTATACACATACAACAGATCAAGAGAAGCAAAGTGAAATGCTGGATGTTGCTTGACTGTATTCTGGGGTATCTTATAAAGCAAAAACATAAACATCATGAATTTTATCCCCCTTAATTAACATTTACTGGTGATTGTGCAAACACTAGTGACGTTATTTTTTCTTGGGTGGTCTGACTGAACAAGACTAGTGGCTATTGCACTCTTTATTGCATAGCAGTTTAAGCTATTACTGATGAACTTGCTGAAAATATGAATTGAATGAAAGTTCTACCATGTCACCAAATGGAGGCATTCATTCATTCCCTGAATTTGGCCCACATAGCATTGCATGGTAATGATTGCAACTTGGGGTACTGTCCCTTCTTCTGTCTGCTCCCACTCATCTGATGGTTAGGAATTTAGTAATGTGAAGATGAACACTTGATAATGGCCTTAACAAGGAAGAATTGTGATGGAGATTGTGCTCCCAGATTGTTCTTCCAATGCTTCATTCTGCGTAGCTAATGGTCACGATGGTCACGATGTAGGTGTAGGGTGTAGTCCAGCAAGAAGCTTCTCATCTTTGCTACTTATCCCTAGTAAAGAATTTTGTAAGCTTTGATCAGGGACTCTTTTCAGATGAAAAATCATGCTCAACCCTGCTCTCCTTGATTGCTAGAATACTGCTTTGGACATGCCAATCATTGGTACTGAGACTAGAAAAACAAAGGAACTGCAGAATCAAGCATATTAAATACTGACTTAATGTAATGAAGCATAATTTTATTAAGGAAATGTTTTGGTTTTATAAAACTAAGTTGGGTGCTTTTATATAAGTTTTTGGAGGAAAATAATACCATTCTCTGCTCCAGCAGAAACATGGATCAGGTATCACTGATTGAAAATCATTTCGTGAAAGCTACAATTTTGTCCAAATGTAGAGGAATGATGAAAGCAAAACATTCCATGGGATAAAATGATAAAGCTGTTCAAAGATTCAATTTGCAGATGTGAGTAAAAGGCAATTTAGTCAGATCTCTCAGTTCAGGATTGTCAATCTGGGTGCAATTATTGAATGAAATGAATTGCTTTCTACCCAACTATTGATGAACTACTTCTGTACATGCACAAAAAGTATTTTTCTCCCCTAAATTGGATCACATCTCCTAATCTGATTGATTGAATTCAGTAATCTGATTCAAAAAGCTGTGATCTGTATATATCTAGATTAAACCTGATTGAATCAGATCGGACTTAATCTCATTGCCTACAAAATAATATCTAAAATAATGCTAAACACATTGCTAAGGATAAGTTCATTTGGTGAACTTTATCCAAGTAGATGTCTACACTATTGCATTATTAGGGAATACATTCAAACTATAAAGCAAACTAAATTTTTGAGTTCAGGAATGTATTTTAATGAGAAATATGTCAAAAATATTTGAAATACTATTATCAGATCCTTTTGTTGAGCAATTTAATGAATGAGACCCATCCTTCAATCTAAAAGCTTATTTCTGAATTCGTACAACTTATTGAAAGAAAAGTGGGAATTTTTTTTTTTTACCATCAGTTTAATGGATATGGAGTGCTCTATGAATTATAAGAGCATAATTGGTTGTATTCATAACCTTCCCCCCCCCAATTTACATTGAAAAGATATAAAATCTTGTACATCCTTTGGTTAAGTAAGAGTTCTGCTTGATTTTTTTTTTTTTGCTTTCTATTTACCTTCATTTATTATAATAATTACTTTAAAATAACTATGCTGTTTTGAAGGAATAAATGGTATGAATCACTCCTTGTGCTCGGTAAAGTATAAAGCTTTTCATGGAAAGTTATGTGCTAATAGCAGTTTTCTTTAGCTATGAATGATCTAGGCAGAAAGCCATGCCTTTCCAATATAGGCAGTAACATGCAATTCTAAATCTTTAGGCTGACTTTTCATATGATTGACATGTCCTGCCAAGACATTGAATGTTATCCTTAAGTGTAACATTACACTGACTTGTTTAATCTTTTATATTCAATTGTTGATGGCCAAAGTTAGAAGGGATTCAGGTTCCAACCCAGCTATTAAGTGCAAAGTCACTGGGTGATATTAGACCAAACACAGTCTCAACTTGTAATAGTATGTGAGAAAAACCTTGAGAGAGGCAGCAAAGAGGGAACTGTCGGATAAGAGAGGACACAGCCTGTAGCAGCATAACGGGCAGAGAAAGAGTCCCAAAAGAGACTCTCCCTAATTTCTTAAACTGTAAAGGAGAATGGTGGGAGATTTGTACTTTCAGACCAGCAAGATTACGAAAGACTTAAAATAAAGTAGAATTAGCTCATCTGGTTGTATATCCTGTGTCTGGTCTACCTGGGAAGGCATCACAACTTTGGAGATCCAGTAGGAAGGAAAATATTCTGTGCAATGTCCAGAGGAAAAGCCAAATGGAAAGCAGGAATACACAAAAGTGCACTGCAGTTTGGGTATCCCAAACTGTTATACTGCAGTGCAGCTGTGTCTTCAGGCAAGGGTGGCCAGATGGATATTAGCAGCTCCCCAGCATCACAATGCAACCCACACCCCTTTTTACGGACATCAACATTCAAAACTCAAGTGCATGTTCCCAAGGGGTAGAATTCTATGTCACTTTTGTTGTTCTGACAAAGGCACTGAGTTTCTGATGAAGTGCACAGAAGTTTCTGAGAAAGATGTTGTCTTTCAGTCAAACCTAACTCCAGGGTTCTTCTTGCAGGAGTAAAATAAAGGAAATTTCCCATATAAATCTCCTTGAGCTCCTAAAGGAAAACCAAAATATAAACATGATAAATAAGTACATACCTCCAAGAAAGCATTTGTTGAGTTCGAAGCTGAGTACAGATGGCATCTGGATCTTAAATGATTCTTCTTCTAGATTTGTGATGCCAAGTTGCTTAAGGTCTGGGAAAAATAAGACAGAAAAGTGGAGGATGGAATCATAATGTCATTTTCTAGTTTTTGATTTTTGTCATGGTGGGTTAATTGGATGACATTCCCTGCAAATTCAAAAGAAAACTCCATCCTGGGATCACTGGGCTTTTGACTGTAAATAGGAGAGTGTGATGATATATCCCATTCCTCACTTCCTATGATTACATCTAATTCCATTTGTTTCCAATCATTTCATTTCATCCAGCATATAAGCAAGCAAATTACACTGGGATATTAGAAGGCCATTTCCTGTACATTCTAAAGTTTAAGGGGTGGAGAGAAATCAAAGTAAATAATAAATTATTATGTATTATTGTTTATTAAATTAACTCTTTTGCTCAAAGAGCAAATAAAACATCAAAGGCAAAAGCTTGTACAGCCGTAACATATAAGGACAAGTAATATATCTAAATGTGTACAAAAGCAGAACAAGGTTTCTAACAAGCGAAGATAGTTTAGCTGTTTCCAAAATTAACATTCTGAAGTCTAGAGATACATCCAGAGACACATGGTTTAGATTCTGTCACTGTGAAAATATTTTTGGACCAATGTGCATGAAAACTCAGAGTTCTTACTGCTTCTTTGATGTTCTTGGCCATTTGCAAGTAACACTCCGTTATCTTTCTCCCACATTTGTACAGCTGAAATGACCCACTTGAAATTCTCTGGAAGGAGGATGAGAAGAAAAAGAGAAAAAAGGCCTTCTTGAAGCAAAACATTGCCTAAGCACACCCTTGCAGTTCAAGGCCACCAATCTTTATTGTAGTAAAACTGTGTTTTTGATAATAATTTTAGATTTGCACATAATTTATAATACTAATTATATGACATGAAAGTTAGCCAGAGAGTAATCTTGTCAGGGCTTGTCAATTCAATTCATATTTAGGTTCAAAAGTGAATCTTTTGAAAAATTAACGTGCAGATAGAAATTCTTGCACACTTTGGATTAGTTGATTATGCCTTGGAATTAGTGCATATTGATTGCAAAAGTTGTTATGGGTATGAACACTTTATCCAGAACCAAAATAATACTTTGAAAATATATACTTTGTATATATATGTGAACGGCCTTCCTACGTTCATGTTAGGGGCATCAGTAGGACATTTTTTTAAAAAAAGTGAAGATGTTCTACACAATCCCACAATCAAAACCCCACCCCATTTTTAAGTGTGTCACATCCCTCTGGGATGGACATTACATTTTGGATGTTCTCAGGGGTGAAATGCTCCCAGTTCGGACCGGATAGGGTGATCCGGTAGCGATTGTGGCAGGTGGTTTGGAGAACCGGTAGCAATGGCGGCACGAGGCTCTGCACATCCGCCCTGGTGTCGTTATTTCCTGGTTGTAACTTCAAACTGGTAAGGAAGGTAAGTAGATTTCACCCCTGGATGTTCTCCTTTTTTTTATTTTGACCAGCATAACTTTTAAAAATTAATTTCAAAGAAAAGGAAAAAATAGCTTAGAAACAGCTAATACTACCACTATTAGTACTACTGTACCACTGCTAATCCTTTAGATGACCACAGCAATAGAGGTGTGGTTGGTCAGTGGTTTAATGACATTGGAGATAGTCTCAACTTTGGCAGTACCAGTCCTAGCTCTGTATGGTAGGGTGAGCTCTTGTCATTCACCTCAGTTTATGTCCACCTATCAGTTCAAAAGCATGTTCTATGCAAGTAGATAGATAGGTACCAGTTTGGTAAAGAGACAAGCTGGTGCTCTATGCAGGCAGTCAGATTCCTGATTGTTCTGAAATCTTCCCAGTTGTGGTGCCCGCTTGTGAGGTTGCTCTGGGAGAGGGGGGGCTTGGTGACATTGCAGGAAGAGCTGCTCATCTTTCTCTCGGGTGCAAAACCAGCTCACCCTCCTGTGACACACCTTGGGAAGCAGCAAGCATGTCCTATAACAGGGTTGATACTTTGGCAAGCCAAACTACTGCTCTACAATAGCATTGTGGTCTCCTGGCTTCTGTAACGATGCCATATGCTAATAATAAGCACAACAATACTAGAGAGTAAAACTTAACAAATGAATTAAAGAATATAAAGAAGAAGATCAGAATTACATGAATATAAAGAAGAAGATCAGAATTACATGAACTGGGCATGGCTAGTCTAGTAAAGAGAAGGACCAGGGGAGACATGATAGCAGTGTTCCAATATTTGAGGGGCTGCTACAGAGAGGAGGGGGTCAAGCTGTTTTCCAAAGTACCTGAAGGCCAGACAAGGAATAATGGATGGAAACTGACCAAGGAGAGATTCGACCTAGAAATGAGGAGGAACTTTCTGACAGTGAGAGCAATCAACCAATGGAACAGAAGTTGCCTTTGGAAGTTGTGGGAGCTTCATCACTTGAGACTTTCAAGAAAAGATTGGACTGCCATTTATCAGAAATGGTATCGGGTCTCCTGCTTGAGCTGGGGGTTGGACTAGATGACCTATAAGGTCCCTTCCAACTCTGTTAATCTGTTAAATAAAACCTCTATTTCCTCTCTTCGTCAGGGATGTTTTATTCCTTAAAAGATATAGCAACCGGGGTCATAGTCTGGTCAGAAACATCTGGTGTATAGCTATCACAAATTCTCTATCTCCAAGGCTGCTTGTTAGCACCTCGCAGAATGAAATTGAAGAGAAGCATTCCTGCTGATAGCTAAGCACACTGACTGGGATGGGATGAAACTGTTGAAAGTTTGCCCTGTCATGCTGGAACTCTCCCACTCTACATCTACATAAAATAAGCAGCAGTGGTATAGATCTTTTCCAGTATACACATCATCCCCCACCCCACCCAGTGCAAAATAGGTCATTCAACTGTATGTCTAATTTCCTAAACAAAGGACTGCTTTCCAACTTGTACAGGATTGCACATTTGTTTGTTTCTTTTTTTTTTACAAGCAATGGCATTCCAAAAGGATTTGCAGTAGGAAATCCCTTAACCTTTATAAAGAAAAAAAAAATATCCTAAGTGAGATCAGGCTCCTGACGTTTATGTCAAAGTTCTTACCAAGTCATCTGGATTAAATACAGAATGATTCAAACAATGCCATTAAATATGTCAGAAGACCTTCACTTGTGCTCTTGCTAAGCCTCATGAGATTCTATCCACACATGGAAACAAATACAGATGTGTATACAATTTTAATTTGGGATCAGTTTTTAATTCTTTTCTCGTCCTCCCACCTGTGAGCTGAATTGTTAACCAGAACACATCGTAAAGTATCCTCTATTTTGCCTTCTGAGCAATTAGAGTAGCCTCACTCTAGATGTTCTTTTAAGCAAATAAATGTTGAGCCGAAGAAACAGCTGAGTTTGAAATCTCACCCTTGTCTTACATTCCTCCAAGCTTAAGGCCCAGAGGAACTGAACAGAAAGTTGGGAAATCTCTTCAACTATTGCTGCAATTATTTTAAATCTGGTGGGCATCTTTCCTGCAGCTGGGGACCTGAGCTTTCCAAACTGCTCTTTTCGTTAGCCCCCTAAGAGATACATCAATGAGCAACCATTGATATATATATATATATATATATATATATATATATTACTAAATTTTCTATTAAAATTAAAAAAATACAAAATTTAAAAAATAGGTGCATCAAGGTTATAAGGAGTATAATTCATCTATTGTTGTCCTTATTTTAAGAAAAAGGCAAAACCCTAAAAAACAATATAAATCTTCAGTTTGCCATACACCATCAGTTGTACAGTCATGACAGGAAGGCAGAATTTATGCCAGGACGTGGCAGAGGGAAGTGTCAAAAAAAAAAAAAAAAAAAACCAGCAGGGATTACCATTGTCCCTGCTTTTTTAATATGTTAGCCTTTCAAGGTAAACCAGGTCAGGAAATAGATTCCACATGAAATTCTTTACTGATAAACAGTATAATAACAGAATCTTAAAAACCTGACATAGTTTCTCTCCCTCTTATACCAAAGAGAATCAAGGTGGACTAATCTTGAGTTTCTTTCTCATACTTTCCTGTTTTCCCATGCTAAACCCATGTTTTACTAGTAAAAAAACACTAGTATTTTATTTAATACCATCTCTATACTTTCTACAACTACATGTAATCCTTGACTTTTGACCACAAC